ATTTGAGCTGATGCATATGAAAATATTAGTGTTTATGTATGTTCAAGAGGTGTATAAGAAACCACATTCGAAACATAGCACCGCAAAGTATGATTTCAAGTACGAATATTACTGAGTATATAAATTACCAATAATGTAGTCAAGACTTGTTTCAGAGAAAACGTACACAGAAACTTGTTGCAGTCAGGCGTAACTCTATCAACTCTAACAGATGGAAATGTAGCATCGAATTTTTAAGGGTTTATAAAGTTACATACCTCGCAATCATCGGCAGCGCAGGCCTGGGGCCAATTGGTTGATGTACTAAATATACCGACCTGACTGTATACGCAGGTGCCAATAATAGGGTTCGCGTGCGTGTTGTGGTGCTGGCGAGTCACTTCAAAGCACCGAGCATTGTGAAGAAAGACGTAATGGTTGTTGAATCTGAAGGCGATGTGTCTACGTGAAAAGATGTGATGAATGCTATGTAGAGAGAAAATGGCAATCAGACTCATACATATATCCCACAATATCATTCACTAACAACAATAACAACGCCAAACGGGCTGGGTTTGAGAAGAAGTGTAAAGAAGGAATAAAAAACCGGACGAAATTGAATGATTTAATTGGCTGTATATCTTTACAGAATGATTTCATTAGCTGTATATCCTAACAGAATGATTTCATTGGCTGTATATATTAATAAGGGGTTTCGGAGATTTAAAAACCCAACCGGCCAAGCCTCACCGCCCAGGCTCTACTACAGTGTGTACTCTTTCTAACCTTTTTCTCGAGAGAAAGATATTCAACGTATAGGGGGGCAAGCTCGACAGGGGGTAAAGTATATACTACAGTAAATACAGTGTCTACCGTAAGAGGAGATGTATTCTCAGCTTGTTGTAACATCGCAAATATGAAGCGACGATTACGCAGTACTAGCATTAATAAGTCGGAAGGAAAGCTAGAATCCCCGCTTACTGCAAGTCAGAGGTCTGCTACAGACACAGTACAAATTCTGAAGAAAGGCGGTGACAGAAGGTTAGACATAGTGGTTGAACACAACAACCCGATAAATCACGAAGATGGAAACCCCTTGAAAAAATCGGTTGAAAATGGGGGGACAACAACTACTGTCAAATTTAAGACAGATTCTGCTGATACCAAGACAAGTACGAGCAGCGAGGTTAACGATAACATTTTAGCTGACTTGATGCAAGGTCAGTAGAGTTTTATGTACTGCAAGTTCGAGAATGCTATA